GTGTATGCTTTGGGTGGTTTTTCCCACTCCTGGGGTCCCTCAATGAGAAAAGTTGTGCACCTGTCTCTTACCATCACTGAAGTCATTAACAACGCTACCTTAGTTCTGGAGACACAACAGATCAGCCTTAGCTCTTTGGTTTGAGTATTTGAGCAGCTGCATAGCCCTGGACTTCCTGCTGGCCAGCCAGCGAGAGTCCGTGCCACTGTCAACACCTCGTGGTGCACCTGGATCAATGAACCTGACAAAGGAGAAGAGTCCAGCTCTCTAAAGCAGACTCTGCTGACCTTTGAAACATCTTGTCCTGGATTGGCAATGTTGGGGACTCATGGCTATGTTTAATCTTCCAAGAAGTCCTCATCATCCTATTTGAAAAAATTTCAATTATGAACCTGGTCCATTGCTGGCGCAGACTAATTACTGGGTTATTGTCATAATCCCACAAAATCCATTTATTTAGGACTATGATAGGGTCGGCTTTGTTTCTTTCAAGCATCCTGAAAAATTAAGAGGTGAAGTTGAGCAGTACAACTTCAGGACAAAATCCTAAATGTGATCGTTCAGGCCCAACCGTATGCAATTATAGAGATTCTACTCTTGGGGGAAATCTGCCCTTCTCCCACCAGACTTCATAGCTAGTGCTTTGTGATCTCGGGAGTGAGGCACCGTCAAAGGCTGAGGACCCTCTGGGCCGCCATGCCCTGTCCCTACCTGTATTTCTAGCTCTGGCCCCTCCATTCAGAAGCTTCCTTATGGAGCAGCGGCTCAGCTGGGACACTGCCAAGACCTCCTTATTAGGGGGCCTGGAGATACTTTTCTCCACTCTGTCTCAGTACTCAGTACTTTTCCATTATTAGCTCTTTCCCGTCCCCCAGACTCTAGCTCCAATCTCCCTCTCTCCCCTGCCACCACAAATGAATAAAAGCCTGACTGTTACTCTTCTATTTGGCTCACTGTCTTAGTGGACCACCTCAACACCTGGCAACTCTCTCTAACAATTGTGGACTTTTTATCTTCGCAGTTACATTTGGTTTTACTTCATGTATTTTGAATCTCTCTTACTAGGAGGGGAATAAAAATGTAGGATTGCTATGTACTCTTGATGATTTGACCCCCTTTATCATGATGAAATAACCTTCTTCATCTCCAGTAATATTCTTCACTCTGAGATGTACTTTGTTAGATATTATTATAGTCACCCCAGCTTTGTTTTGATCAGAATTGTATGTTGTGTATTTTACCTTCATTTACTTTTAACCTATTTTTGTCAATGCAAGGTGAATTTCTTGTAGACAGTATATATTTGGATCTTTTAACCGGTCTGACAATCTCTGTTTTTTAATGGAATCAAGAATGAGTATAAGGAAGTGAATTTTTTTATAATGTCCTGGAATTTGTGCTGATAGCATCACGACTCTGAATATACTAAAAATCACTGCATTGCACATATTAAAAGGGTACTTTTTAGTATGTGAATTATATCTCAATAAAACTATCATTTAAAAAATGAGACTGGGGACCTAAGGCACTACTGTAAGGAGGCATTCGATTTAAGGATTCTGCTCCCTTCCCCTTCCTCTCCCCTCCCCTTCCCCTCCCCTCCCCTTCCCTTTCCCCTTCCCATTTCCCTTTCCCCTTCCCATTTTCCTTTCCCTTCCCTTTTTTCTTTTCCTTTCTTTCTTTTTTTTTTTTTTGAGACACAGTTCTGCTCTTGTTTCCCAGGCTGGAGTGCAATGGAGTGATCTCTGCTCACGGCAAATTCTGCCTCCTAGGTTCATTCAAGCAATTCTCATGCCTCAGCCCCCCAAGTAGCTGCGATTACAGGTGCCCACCACCACACTCGGCTAATTTTTGTATTTTTAGTAGAGACAGAGTTTCATCATGTTGGCCACGGTGGTCTCGAACTCCTGACCTCAGGTGATCTGCCTGCCTCAACCTCCGAAAGTGCTGGGGTTACAGGCATGAGCCACCACGCCCGACCCCTGCTTTCTCAACTTTTGTACCCTAGGCAACTGCTTGTCTCGCCCTAATCCAGGCTCAAGTGATAATGCACTGATTCTGGCTACTTTGAAGGGCAGCTACTGGGGGACAGCTCTGGGAAACGTTTCTACTTCAGAAAGTCATTTGTTCTGTTCTCTTCCTCTGGACATCTTGGCCTGGACGTGAAATGCTTCCAGTTGCCGAGGCCCCTTGTGACCAACCTGAGGATGAAGTTGGGGCAGTGAAGGATGGCAGAATGTGAGTCTCTGATGACATCATGGGCTGCTGAGTCAGTCTGAAGCCCCCCTCGCTTCTGAACCCCCCGATAGAGGACGTAGCAATGTCCCCAGCCACCCGTTGTCTGAGTCAGGCAGTCTGCACGTGTTTCTGTCATGTGCAGCCCAGGGACAGGGACAGAACCCCTCACACCGCAGCCCCGGGGCTCCAGCGCCAGTGGTGGAAAAGAGCTCAGGTGTCAGGAGTAAGGACGCCTGGCTCTGTATATGGGGTCAGGACTGCTACTAATTACTTGTGGCACACATCATTTTCCTTTCAGGTGAGTCCCTGATACATGTAAGAAATAAAGACCCAAGGTTCCTGTCTACTCTGAAATGGGAATCGGTCACCTCCCTTTGCGTGCTTGAAACAGAAAAGCCCAGAGTCCCAACTTCTCTTGCCTCACCTCCAAAATCCCCTCTATCTAACAGCCCAAGGCGTGGATGAGTCCTTTGCACCACCAGCTTCCCCTGGGTTTTGGCCTCCAGTTAATTTCAAGACACTTTCCCTTTCAGAATCTTTTTTTTTTGGAGTCCTCCTTGCAAGAGCAGGAGGACAGCGCGCTCAAGTCAGCCCTGGGTCCCCCGCGGGGCCCTCGCGCGCGGTCACCCGCTCTTCCCGCGGCGGGATGAGGCCCTGGAGAAGCCGGGGAGGGCGAGGGCTGGGGAAGGGGCGTCAACCGACCCTGCCCCGGGTCCCCCACGCGGCCCTAGCATCTCTCAGGAGGCAGGGACTCACCCCGACCCCGGGTCCACCCTCGGCACCAACCCGTGCCCCGCCGCCGCCTGAGGTCGCCGCCGCCTGCGGTTGTGCCCTTTGAGAAGGAAGGCAGAAGGTCCCCACGCCAGCGGGGGCCGGGATAATGAGATCTGTGGGTGTCTGCAGGACCGAATGGAAGCCCGCGGCACGCTCAGCCCCCAATGCCCTGGAGTCCTGTGTTCTTGTCCGTCTGCCCGCATTTCCACCTCCTCTCCTTGCACTCTCTTCTCAGACACCTGCCTGTTGACACCTGGCATCTCTCTTCTCAGAAAAGGTCCTGCTAAAACCAGCACTCCAAATCCACGTTTAAGTGCAAGCACTTCTTGTCCCTCCTAATTCTTTTATTCAGTTCCACGTTGTCGAGCCCCCTTTTCCCCAGCACTGTTCCTGATGCTGAGGTGGGGCCACAGGGACTGACTTCAGAGACTTTGCCTGGTCAGGTAGCTGCCAATCACAGGAGTAATGGCAATGCAGGGATTGATGGGTTAGGCTGAGGAAGTGCAGGTGGGAACGAGTGAAGTGGGGACCCTCTCCAGGGTAGGGACTGGGGAAGCCGCTGAGGCAGAGATGTTGAAGTAAAGGCATAGATTATGTGCAAATTCCGTGCCATTTTATACCAGATACTTGAGCACCGGTGGATACTAGTATCTGTGGGAGGTCCTAGAACCAATCCCCAGTGGATACTGAGGGACAACTGTGTGTGTGTGTGTGTGTGTGTGTGTGTGTGTGTATTATAAGAAATTGGCTCATGCAATTATGGAAACTGGGAAGTGCTAAGATCTGCAGTAAGCAAGCTGGAGATTGAAGAAAGCTAGTGGAGTAGTTCCAGCCTGAATCTGAAGACCTGAGAACCTGGAGAGCTGGTGGTGTAAGTTCCAGTCAGAGGGCAGGAGGAGACTGATGCTCCAATTCCAGTGTCAGACAGGTGAAATTCCCTCTTAGTCAGACATTTTGTTGTACGCAGGCCTTTGGTTGACTGGAGGAGGGGGGCGAACCACATTAAGGAGGGCAGTCAGCTTTATTTGGTGTACCAATTCAAAATGTCAGTCTCACCCAGAAATACCCTCACAGGCATACCTAGCATAATGATGTTCCAAATGTCTGGGCACCCTGTGGCCCAGAAAAGTTGCTACATAAAATTAACCACTGCACATTTTAAAATTATATTCTATTTGGCCTCTGGAGGATAGGACACACTCTCACTCTGACTTGGTTTTGCTTTCCTAGTGTGTATTGATTTCTTGTTTAAAATAAAATAATCTCTTTTTAAAGGAAAAACGTTATGGAGTATTTGAGAAAACTATTTTACCTATATCTTTTTAGAGACCAGAAGACAATACTGGTAATTTTAAAGTATTTTTTCAAGAGATAAATTTTCTTAAATACAGAGGAAGACATTGACCAGAGTTTCCAGCCACTCATCATTAAATTAAAAAACCTGGCACTCAGTATTTGCTTAGAACGGCTAACAGGCTTGTTAAAAAAAAAAAGCCTTACAAATTCCTCTCAGTAAGTTGAATTAATAGAAAATAAAAGCAGTATGGAGAATAGGATAAAAGCCCTAGAGAACTTGAGAAATTTATGGCAATCAAATAATTACAATAACTATATTTTGAATTATTTCCAAATTAACTACTTCTAAAATTCACTTACTAATCTGTGGTCATTCATGGTTTAGCATATACCTATTTATAAACTGTGACATTTTAAAAAGATTAAAAGATTATGATAAGATCACTTTTAAGAGAGAGATATATATTATTTTAAATAAAAATTATATTTTTATATTTCAGAGTATTTGGAAATTTGAAAGCTTGCTAATTTTTATTTATTTTTACTTCACTTATTTATTTATGTTCATTTTATCTGGCAATGGTGCCACATTGAACATTTTTCTCTACAGAAACTTTTAAGGAATGCTTCTGTTGTTTAATGTCATTATCTCCAAGAATGTAACAAACTTCTCATCTTGTGCCTCCTAACAGGATACACTGAGAAGTACTAGCTTCTTCTATGACATTCTTGCCAACATTCTCAGCACCTGAATGTAAGTGCAGAAACATCAGACAGAACTGAATTGAGGGATATTCTACCAAATAATTGATTGAAACTCTGCAAAAGAGGCAATGTCATAAAAGACAAGCGCTGCGGAGGTGCCACAGGAGGATGTGTGATAACTAATTGCAACCTGCGAGTTTCTTTGGGTCCCACAAAAGACCTGAATAAATACAAAAGACGACATTCAAATGTCCAAGAAGGAAATAAAAAAAAAGATTTGATTATGGTAGTTATCAAGACATGCATATGAAATGCACAGTGAAATACCACCACAAGTATACCAAAGTAGGTAACATTAAAACTACTGACAACATCAAGAGTGGGCAATGATGTAGAACAACTGGAATTCTCCTACATTTTTGTTGGGAATAAATTAGTAAAGACACTTAGAAATTGGCACTATCTACAAAAGCCTAATAGTGTTGAAGCAAACACTGCACTAAACGAAGTTAAGCATATCCTATAGTCTGAATGCTGTGTTCCACCAAAATTTATATGTTGAAACCCAAAGTCCAATGTGTCAGTATTAAGAGGTGGAACCTTCAGGAGGTGATTAGGTCCTGAGGAAAAAGCCCTCATAAATGGGATTGATGTCCTCATAAAAGAGGCCCCAGAAAACTACCTTGCCCCTCTGCCATGTGAGTATGCAGTGAGAAGGTGCCATCTATGAAGCAGAGAACAAGCCCTCACCAGACATCAAATTTAATAGCACTTTGATCTTGGACTTCCCAGCCTCTAAAACTGTAAGAAAAAAATTTATGTTGTTTATAAGCTACCAAATTTATGGTCTTTTGTTTAGCAGCCTGAACAGACTAAGACAGGCTATAAGGAAGTGTTTATTCAATGCTATTACTGTAGGGGAGAGAGACCGGAACATAGTCTGTGTTCAACTTCACTAAAACAAAGGAGTTTTTGAGAAGTGGGGTGGATATTAGGACATGTGGGTTTGCTATCTGGCCTTACCTAAAGGAAAAGTAAGTTTTCTCACATCTTCCTGGCAGAAGGTAGTTTTACAACTCCAAGCAAGGTGCCCACTGACATTAGTCTCCCACCCTCCCACAGAAACAGGGAAATAAGACGCCATCTTCCTTGTGATTTTTGAAACAGCTCCCAGGTCCTTAGGAAACAGTCCTGCATTGAAAAATTGTCAGGAGGCTTTTAAAAAGATTTACATGTCCAAGGAACAGAGAAATCATTCACAATGACAAGTTTTCTAAAGTCAGTGCTCTGATAAAATGGCCATGTGGTTAGGTCATCTGGATTCCATAAGGTACTGGGGTGAGAGGGAGATCAGGTGCCTAGAGGCAAGAAGAGACCTATTTAAAGTATAGTCGAACTGAGGGAAAGTTAAGGCTGCCTTAGTACATAGGTATATTCTGTGGCCAAGTGTTATGGCTTGAATTTTTTTGTTTCAAATTCATTTGTTGAAACTCTAAACCCCAATTTGATGTTATTCAGAGATGGGGCCCTTGGGAGGTAATTTGAATTATATGAGATCTTGAGAATAGGACTCACCGTGATGAGATTAATGCCCTTAAAAGAAGAGAGACTAACACACCGAGGAAATGCCATGTGAGGACACAGAGATGGCAGCTGTCCACGTCCCAGGGAGAGGGTCCTCTCCAGAACCCAGACATGCTGGACCTCTGATTGCCAACTGCCAACCTCAAAAATGCAAACCAAATTTCTCTTATTTAAGCCACTCAGTCTGTGGTATTGTATTATGGCAGTCAGAGATGATGGAAGTAGAGTGGGGTAATTGACTAGGAGTCTGGAAATACTCTATATCTTGATTTGGTGGTAGTTACATGGATTAAAATTATTAGCTATTATTTTGAAAGTCACTAGGTGTATACTTATGACTAGCGTACTTTGTATAAGTTCTAATTCAATGAAAAAATAAAGTAAAATAAAAACGTTTGGGGGACAGCTAAAATGGAACTTCATGAGAAATTTGTAGATTTTGATGCCCATGTTAGAGAAAACAAGGCGAAAAGAACCTATGCATCCAACTTAATTAGAAATGTGTAAGTAGAATAAACCCAAATGACTCAGAGGAAAGAAAATACAAAAAATAAAAGAAGATACTTATGAAATAGCAGATAAATGATATAATAGAGAGGATCTACAAAATGAAAATCTGATTCTTTGAAAAAGTAAAATAACCTCCAGAAAGATTAACTGCAATGAAAAAAATACAAGATTGTACAGATAAAAAAGAGTAAAAATGAAAACGGAGACATAATTATAGATGCAGCTGAGATTACAATATAATAATGCTATAAACAACTTTATGTCAATATATTTGAAAACCTAAGAGAAACAGAAAAGTCTTCAAGATATATAATTCACAAAACTAAACTTGTAAGGAAAAAAACAACCTCAATGAGCCTATAAACATTTAAAAAATTAAATCAAAAATTTAATGTTCTCCCATAAAGGAAACACCAGTTTCGGATGATTTTACAAGTAAATTTCAGCAAACGAAAAGAAAGAGATGATCTACATTTACAAAAAGAATATCTTGCCATTATTTTTAAAATAAAAGCATACTGTTCAACTGATTTTATAAAGCTAATGTAACTTTGATACCTGTATTAGTCCATTCTCTCACTGCTGCTAGAAATACCTGACACTGGTAATTTATAAAGAAAAGAGGCTTAATTGACTCATGGTTCTACAGGTTGTACAGGATTCTGCTTCTGGGGAGGCTTCCAGAACTTAAAATCGTGGTGAAAGGTGAAGAGGAAGCAGGCACGTCTTACATGGTTGGAGCAGCAGAAAGAAAGGGAGGAGGTGCTATACTCTTTTATACAATCAGATCTCGTGGTAGGTTACTCACTCTTATGAGAACAGCACCAAGAGGGAAATGGGCCCCCATGATCCAGTCACCTCCCACACGGCCCTACCTCCAACACTGGGGATTGCAAGTTGACATGAGATTTGGGCGGGAACACAGACCCTACCCGTATCAATACCAAAACCAGAGATAAACTGTACAAGAACACAGCATCAAAAGCCAATCTAAAGTGATGGATAATAGACATGTTCTTAATTAATATTTTATTACTTAATTTTTAATTAATTGTGACAAATCAAACCGAACGTTATTATAAGAATATTATATGAAAAGTATTTTGTATCATGAAATGTAAGGTTGGTGCAACATTTAAAAATAAATTTTTATGTTTAACCAAGTTGGCAGGTTAAATAAAATGAAGGAATTCCTCAATCACTTCAAAAGGTGTAGAACAAAACATTCATTAAGCTTTAACATGTATTCAGGAGAAAAATTCTTAATAAACAAAATAGAGAGGGGATTTCCAGTACTTTTTTGTTTTGAACACAGAGTCTCACTCTGTCACCCAGGCTGGAGTGCAGTGGTGAGATCTTGGCTCACTGCAACTTCCACCTCCCAGGTTCAAGCGATTCTCCTGCCTCAACCTCTTGAGTAGCTGGGATAACAGGCCCCTGTCACCATGTCAGCTAAGTTTTTTAAAAATTTTTACTAGAGATAGGGTTTTACCATGTTGGCCAGGCTGGTCTCGAACTCCTGAGCTCAGGTGATCTGCCCGCCTTGGCCTCCCAAAGTGCTAGGATTACAGGCATGAGCCACCATGCCTGGCCCAGTACTCTTATTAAGTAGTGAACTCTAGGTTTTGGCCAGAACAGTATACAAAAGCATAATAATTTGAATAAGAAAACAAAACCATATTCCTAGATTATATGATTATATGACTGCATCACAAATAACAGAGAATTATTAAATTCTCTATTATTCAAATATATTCAAATTATTCAAATATTATTTAAATTATAAATTATTCAAATATAATTCAAAAACAATTTTAGCATAGCAGATGAAAATCACTATAGGTTATACACTGGAGCCTAAACACTAGTCAGATGCTGGGGTTCAAACTCCAGTCTTGTACTTGCTAGAGATTGTAGAGGGGTGAATTAATGAACCCTCTCAGTGCTTCAGTCTCCTAATCTGAGAAGTGGTTATGATAGCAGGACCTAGCTCATAGAGTTGTCGAGAGGATTTAATCAGTATATAAAGAGATTAGCTCAGGACCTGGTACGGTAGAACACAGCATACTATTAGTAACTATCATTATTTTACAAGAGCAAGTTGCATTTTTATGCATCTAAATAGCAATAGTTAGAGAATGTCATTAAATCTGCACTAACCCCAAACCATAAGATTCTTAGGAATAATAATTAACAAAAAATAAGCAAGATTGTTATGTTGAAAGTTGTCAAATGCTATAGAATATCATTAAAGATGACCAAAATAAATGGAGCTATTTCATGTCATTCATAGAAAGGCCTCGAGTTGAAAAGTTGTCAGTTCTCCCCCACTTGTCTTATTGATGCAATACAATTCCAGTCCAAATCCTAGCAATGTTTTCTGTGGAATTTGAAACATGTATTTAAAATTTTATATAAATAAGCAAAGGGCCAAAATAACCAAGACACTTCTAAAGAAAAAGATCAAGTTGAGAAGATTCGCTTTAGCAGACATTAAAACTTATTATAAAACTCTAGTGATGTAGCGTGGTGTGTACACAGGGATAGACAAACAGATCAATGGCACAGAATAGAGAGCTGATCTCAGAAGTGTAATTCTCTTCATATGGGGAAATGCGAGATGATAAAGAACTGGCATTAGAGATTCGCAGGGAAATGACAGTGTGCTAGGAAAACTGATTTTCCTTATGTAAAATATGAAAACAAAAGAATTGCTGACAATTAACCCATTTATGCCGGAAGCTGCAAATTTTTTTTGTGAAAAATTAGACCTTGATGATGACCTTGAGCAGCTGGATATCAATAATGCCCACAAGCTTAGCATTCCAATAATGGGACACTAGGCATAAATGGGCTAATAACTTAAATGTTAAAAAAATTAAAGTTCTACTGGAAAATATGGCAAAATAATTTATAACCTTAGTGAAGTGAAGGATTTTTGTCATATATTTGAAAAAATCAACATTAAAATACATGTATTTAAATTACTTAAAAAATATATCATAAAAATTATAAAAAGACAAACACAAACTAAGAGATGAGAGTTTAACACATTTAACAATAAAAAGATAATTATCTTAAATATAAAGTATTTCCACGAAAGAATCTGTAAGAAAAAGGCAAACAACCACATTAAAAAATAGACAAAGATCTGAACAGCTACTTCACAAGAGAAAATAATAAAAGGCCAATGATCAATATCACTAATAAGAAAAACTAAAATAGAAATGAGAGAATAGACTCACATTTAAAGTCCATTGATACCAAATCTTGGCAAAGATCAGTAACAGTCCTTGCACATGGCTGGTGGGAACAGGCATTGGTCAAACCACTTAGGAAAATGATCTCGCATAACTTAGTAAAGCTAAGATATTCTACTCCCAGTTAGAAACCCTAAAGAAGCTCTTGCATATATGTTCAGAAGACATGCAAAATCATGTTCATAGCAAGAAAAATAAATATAAACAATGAATCATTCAAAGGAACAAATGATATTGCACCATACAGTGGAATCAGAGTCCTCATCTTGCTCAGTTCTGGTGCGCTGTTCCCATAGTCAGCACTATTCATATAGAACACAATGTTACTAATACTGTTGGGAGGTTGTACAGCTTTGGATGGAATACCACACATTATGGAAAATTAATTAATGACAGCTACCAACATAAAACATCATGCAGAGCAAAAATAGCAGGTGTCAATTCCTTTTGTATAAAATCCAGGAATAGGTAAACTGATCATTATGTTTTTTAAGGTGCATATATATGGCAAAGGCATAATAAAGTAATTATTAACACAAAATACACGATAGTGTTAAATCTGGGGGAAGAAAAGAATGTGATCCATCAGATCAATAGGAACTCCAAAGTCATTTATGATCTTCTGTTTATTAAACTGGGTAGTGGATATTAGATGTTTATTCAACTTACTATATATAAAAAATATATATATACACACACATTGTTTTATGAGTATGATGTATTTCACAATAAAAATAAATTTAACAAAAGAATGAACAAATCATGGTATAAGATGATGTGACAAGGACTAAAATCAGCTAAGGGAGATGAATCTAAGTTAGGTAAATTTTATAATCAAACTAAGTGTAATTTCCCTATTAAAAGACAAAAATCTTTTAGATTGGCAATGAACGACTTTCAGTTAGCATATCTCAAATAAAGTGACAAGAAATATAAATGTGAAATGATAGGCAAGGATGTATCAGGCAAATTTAAACAAAAGGATATCAGGTATCAAGCTATTAATATAAAAATATAGACTTTAATGAAATAAACAAAAAAGCAGAAATTCTGTCATTTGGTATAGAAAAGGATATGATTCATAGTGAAGATAAAATTCAAACTTTAATGTGCCTCTTTCAATGTTGGACAGATGAGCATAAAAAGTAGAAAATTAATAAAAAGCTGAATATTCCACTGTGCTTAAGACCCACATTAAGACCTATTTTTGTATATCTTCATGCTTCTGCAATTAAGATCTTGATGTAATTATCAGTGTCCATACAAGTGTGTATTTCATCATTGGTGCCTATATTGTCACTGCAAGTTATTTTTGGTGCTGTATTTTTTGAGAGAGCTGCCATTAAGTTTGAAACAATGTATTGTTATTTGAAGTTGAACATTTATTGTGAATGCTGAAAATTATTGAAATGGAATGGTGATGCAATAGTTGACATTAGGGAAGCAAATACATTTGGATGAGTGAGTGAAATTTCCTATTTTCCTACAAAGCAATGGCCATGTTTTATAGGGCGTAAGAAAGGCAGACACCCTCCTTACAAGTGGAAGCTGGGCTATTGCATTAACTATCACATACCACAGGAAATAATGCAAACACCAAAACTTGCAGAAATGGTTTCAGCAGCTGGGAAGAGAATCTGAGTTAATAGTATTATGTTTGGTGACATTTAAAAGTGTTTCATAATGCCCATGTCCTAAAGTTCCTGATGGTACAATAAGCAATATTGGGATGAAAAATGAGCATTTATGACTTTAACACCCGTAACTATTTAAAAGTGTCAGACTGAATATGTTTTGCAATTATCTTACAAATATTTAATTTTACACATGATCAAGACTAATATATAATAAATACATCTAAACATATCTAAAATAACTCTACATATTTTAAAATAACAATTCAAGTGGAAGAAAATGTGGATCATAAGTCAATTGTCAGAGCTTTTATTTCTTTAGTGATATGTGAAATAATAACACATTTTAGAGCTGAGGTCATATTAGCATTTATGAAACAAGGTACTATTTATTTATTTATTTATTTATTTCCTTCCCATCTTACTGTCTAGAAGGTATACACATCAAATGCTGGGCCCTCTGAATTGATCTTTTACAGCTCAACTTGTCTGTTTTCCATTCTTAAATCCTGAGAGATTTTCTGAACTTTTTCTCTTATCTCTTCTGGTTTCTTTTTTCAACAATGTTCTAAACTTCACGAACTGACTATCTTGCCTTTTGGTTATTCCTTTTTAATATCTGTGTATGTATGCGTGTGTGTGTGTGTGTGTGTGCGTGTGTGTGTGTGTAACGACTTCTTGAGTTAGCTAAAAATGCTAATCAAAATTTTTAATATTCCTGTCTGAAATGTTTCTTTCAGAGTCAGCTCTTCTGAGTGTCAATCTTGGTTGCTGCACTGCAAACTAATGATGTTCTCCACAGCTCCTTGTAAATGTTGATTGTCCATTCATATCTAGTAATGATAATTTTGATTATTGAGGTAGGTAGCTGATTTACGTAATCTCTACTGCTGAATACATGGGACACATGTCTCGCGAAGTGTGACTAATTGGGCAGCCTGCTTTTTATGGACAAATATGTCGACCTGCATTCTGCGCAGGCAAAGAAGCCCGGTGGGGTGGCCCCCTTCTAGCTACTTCCACTCCCCTTCCTCTGCCTTCACTACCCTGAATTTCAGAATTAGATGAGTTCTACTATTGGGCTCTATCAGCCATGTTAAAATCTCCTTTTCTCTCAGGGCAGATTTTAAGAATTACTTTACAGAAGAAGTCCACAATTTTTTTTCTTTAGGGAGTAATTCTGGGTTGCCGATTACTCTGCCAACAGAAAGATGGGAGCCATGGATCCATTGGGTTCTGCCTCTTTCTTCCCTCCCTCCAGTCAGTGTCCGCTGGCTCATGAACCAGTCTGAGAATTCTGATTCCTCCCAGTGCCTGGCATTCTTCTTTATGTACACTGAGCAAGTTCCTCCACCCTGATTTATCCTTCAATATTCTGCCGTATACATTATTACTTCCAGAAATCAACTCAAACTTTCCAGCTACCAT